GTTATACTACAAAGCCACCGTAATCATAACAGCCTTGTACTGGTACAAGAAGAGGCATATAGATCAATTTAACAGAATAGAGAATCCAGAAATCAACCCAAGCCATTATGCTCAATTAATATTTGACAAAGAAGGCAAGAGCATACAATGGAGTCAAGCGAGTCTAGTCAATAAATGGTATTGGAAAAATTGGACAGATACATGCAAATAAATGAAACTAGACCATCAACTTACACTAAACACAAGAATAAACTCAAACATATTTGGCAATGATATATCTGATAAAGGGTTAAGTCCAAATATGAAAGGACTTAAACTTAACAAAATTAAGGCCAACAATCCAATTTAAAAATGAGCAAAGAACCTAAATAGGCACTTCTCCAAAGAGGACATACAGAAGGCCAAGAGACATTATGAAAAAATGCTCAGTCACAGGTCATCAGAGAGATGCACATTAAAATGACAATGAGGTTTTTCACCTCACATCTGTCAGAATGGCTACCATCAACAAATCAACAAATAACAAGTGCTGGCGAACATGTGGAGAAAAGGGAACCCTAGTATACTGCTGGTGGGAATGCAGACGGTTGCAACCAATATGGAAAATAGTATGGAGTTTCCTCAAAAAATTAAATATGGAACTGCCATTTGACCCAGTGATCCCACTTTTAGGATATCCTATGAAACCCAAAGTACCAATCAGAAAGAATGTACACAGCAGCACAATTTACAATAACTAAAATCTGGAAACAGCCCAAGTGCCCATCAGTAGATGAGTGGATTAAAAAGCTGTGGTTCATTTATACCATGGAATACTATATATATATATATATATATATATATATATATATATATATATTTTTTTTTTTTTTTTTTTTAGGAGCCCAGATAAGTAGTTGCCAGATTAGTAGGGGATAAGAGGTACGGAAGGCAAAAGAGAAGGAAGTAGGTTTGGCTATAAAAAGGCAGCATGAAGGATCCTTGTAGTGTGAAAATGTTCTATATTTTGCCTGTATCATTGTCAATTTTCTGGTTGATATTGTACTATGGGTTTATAAGATGTTTCTATTGGGAGAAACTGGGCAAAAGGTTCATGAGTTCTGTATTATTTCTTAAAATTGTGATTCTATAGTTATCTCAAGATGATTTTTTTAAAAGATATATGTTTATTTAGTTTAGAGAGAGGCAGGGAGAGGGAGAGAGAGAAACATCAATCAATGATGAGGATAACTTATCGGCTGCCTCCTGCGCTCCCCACACCAGGGATCGAGCCCACAACCCGGGCATGTGCCCTGACCAGAAGTTGAACTGTGACCTCCTGGTTCATAGGTCAATGCTCAACCACTGACCTACACCGGCAGGGTTCACAATAATTTTTAATTAAAAAAAAAAAGGATGGATGACAAAGAAGTTAACCTTAATAGGGAGAAGAAGATGCCTTTTGCGGGGAGAGGAGGCAAAAAGAAGAGAATGGACTAACAGAGGCAGAATATCCAAAAGGCAGATGATCTTATCTCTCAGCTCAAGTTCAGTGCTAACTGGGTTGGAAGAAATAAGAGTTATCAAAGAGAAGTTCAGATGGCAGAATTGGAAGCTTAAAAAAATCAAGAAAACTTGGAATATTAAAGTCTGCAGAGAGCATGATTAAGAATTAATAAAACAGAATTCCCTACTAGTCTTCCTGCATCTAAAGCACCATTCTTCACTTGCTAATTCATTACACGGGTGTTGATTCTGTTTTATCTATAAAGCTGCAAAGTTTTCACTAAAACAGATTATTTTTCTAAAAGAATTCCATCACCACAATCTGCATGTCCTATAAAATTCTGCAAAATGGAACTTCATTTGTAGAATTATAATGTAACTATAACAAGAGTAAAAATAAATATTATTATCTCTACCCGAAAGAAAGGGATAATGATAATAATGGGTCCAAAATAAATAGGTTCAAAGAGAAAATGTCTTATGGTCACACAAAAATCAGTGACAAAAATGGTTAGAATCCAAACTTTCCACCATGGTAGTGATTACTACAAAACCTATTATTTTTCTCTCTCACACAGTCTCTTTTTCTTCCTCTTACGTGAATAAGGTGCCACTGCAAATTGGGGACTTCCATAACTGACTACTGTAACAAGCAATTTTATTTCTTTTTGTTAACATTTTGAATCTTTTATAATACATTTCAGGAAGGCCAGAGGAGCTTCAGTGTTCCAGAATACCTAAGTAGAAAAGTTGCATTTTTCCAAAGCTTCACCAGCAATTCACTTTAAGAATTTATTGTCAATGATGCCTAATAAAATTCACTCCGTTCAAATGCATTAGTTAATTAAAACTTAGCTGTAAAATTCAACAAATATTTCCTGCATGGTTACACCAGTCACTGTAGAGGTACCAAGGAGACAGTAGCAATGAAAATGTATCTCCTGTTCTTGTCTATATTAAGATCTTAAAAATGCTAAGGCGGCCGAAACCGGTTTGGCTCAGTGGTGGAGCATTGGTCTGCGGATTGAGGAGTCCCGGGTTCGATTCCGGTTGCGGGCACATCCCCGGTAGGGGGTGTGCAGGAGGCAGCTCGTCAATGTTTCTCTCTCATCAACGTTTCTAGCTCTCCGTCTCTCTCCCTTCTTCTCTGTAAAAAATCAATAAAATATTTTTTTTTTTTTAAATGCTAAGGCGCAGACAAATACAAGGTGCCACATAGGAACATGAGAAGTCAACATGCCAGTAAAAGACAATCAGACAATAAAAGGGAAGCTATGTATAAAGAGACTTACAGATAAGCAGGTATCAGCCAGTTGAGAAGTGCAGAGGAAAAAGTATAAGAGGTTGACACAAATATTTGCAGCCATTCTTGTCAAAATACACTTAAATTATCTTAATAGGAAAGAAATCCTAAAAAGAAGAGAAACTTTAGCAGAAACATCTGACAGCCAGTAGACAAGTGGTAACTGACTTTACGGATGAGAGAAAGCTAAAATCTAAGCTGGCTGTGTATTTGTTGAATTTTACAGTAAGAGTGAAAACAAGAGAAATGCATAAAATAGGGGTACAAAAGTAGACATGTGGATAGGTAGTAAAACAAGAAATTCAGTTGAAATTCTATGTAACAGAGTAATTAGAATTCCCTATCTCCCCACATCCCCCTGGGCTCACAAAGAAGACTATCCTGTCCCTTCCAGGTACCAGACTCAATGACAACAGGCATAGCAAAGGGGAGAAGTGATGTAGGGAATGAAAAAAATATTAGGAAGATTAAATAAAACTCTACTTTCTAAGAGTTATGGCACATTGCTTCCCCCTTGCAACCAAAATGCTGACAGCTGGATTTATATGCTGCTCTAAGCAAGAGTCTGGGAAATCTTACACATATACCACCCTCCTTCTCCATCAGCCCAAAATCGATAGGTAATTATAGTGGGAGATGCCGGGAGCCAGTTCCAGTATGTCATAATTGCAAGAGTTTCATCAAAAGGTTGATGGAAATTGGGGACTCTACATGGGCTGAGTCACATATGATATCACCTGATGGAATGGCTGAAAGGCATTTCCACAAAACCTGAATAGGATGATTATTTGCTGCCAGACAGCTCAGGGCATCTTAATCTACATATTATTGCCTCCTATAGCCCAAACATCTGAACAGCTAACCTGACAATGCTTCTATAGAAAACCCTAACCTTTGAAGTATATAGATCCACCAGGCCTTAGGACAATTTGTGTTAATAAAAAGCAAGGGTCCTGAGACAAGGAGGACTTAGCTCCTTCAGCTAGGCTCCTCTTATCCCCAATGCTTTTCAAAATTATCTTTCATCTCTGAACTCTTACTTAATCTATGCACAGCCTTTCTCCCGATTACTGAACCCTTCTTAATGCTGGAAGAACCCCAGCAGGGAGATTTACCAGTGAGGTGGCCTTATAAGATCTTCCTATATTGAAGTTCACAGTTTACAAGTACCACATACTGACTTCCAATCAGCTGTTTAATCAAGATCACTACTGTTTTTAATTTTAAACCTCATTTGACTTTTAAAAAAATGTTTTTATTGACTTTAGAGAAAGGGGAAAGGAGAGATAGAAACATTGATGATTAGCTGCCTCCTGTATGCTCCTTACTGGGGATGGAGCGAGGGCATGGGCACTGACCAATCCAACTGGAGAACACTTGGTGCATCGGACCAAACACAACCTAACTGAGGCCACACCAGCCGGGTTCATTTGACTTTTTAAAAACTAAGTACTTTAGCCCTAGCTGGTTTGGCTCAGTGGATAGAGCGTCAGGGGTTTGAGTCCTGCCAAAGGCACATGCAGCAGGCAGCCAATCAATATTCCCTTTCATCATTGATGTTTCTAACACTCTCTTCCTCTCCCTTCCTCTCTGAAATCAATAAAGATATATTAAACACACACACACACATACCCTAAGTGCATTAATAAAAAATAAAATAAAAGACAGTGGTAGGCCCAGCTGGTACTGTTCAACTGTTCAGTGCCGACCCATGAACCAAGAGGTAATGGGCATATGTTCAGGTTGTAGCCTCAATCCCAGTGGGGTTTGTGCAAGAGGCAGCTGATAGATGATTCTCTCTCATCACTGATGTTTCTATCTCTCTCTCATTCTCCCTCTCTCTCTGAAATCAATCAAAACATATTAACTTTAAAAAAAAAAAGACAATGGCAGGTATAGATGGAATAGCAGTAAAAGTGAAGAATTACTTAACCAAAGAATTTTACTTTTATCACTTTTATATTTAAGACTAGAGGCCTTATGCACAAAAGTTCGTGCAAGAGTAGGCCTTCCTTCCCACATGGAGGCTTCCCTCCGGTCCCCAACAGGCACCCAGGACCCGGGCTTCAATCTGGCCCTGGCTTCATCTGGAAGGACACCCGGTCTAATTAGCATATTATCCCTTTATTATTAAAGGTAATTTAAAAAGAGTCACTCTCAATCCTAATAATAATGCATGCCAAGAGTACCCAAAAAGTAAAAAGCACTCAACCTGTATATCCATTAACATAGATAGCAACTCCACTGAAAATTGTAGATGAAATTCCATCCTTCTGCATTTCAGCCTCTGATCGAAACTGTTCCTCCAATTTCTGGACCTTGGCAGCCATATATCCACCCTAGAATTAAAGAAAAAGTAAACACTAATCACAAAAGTTATATTTTTATCCCCTCCTCCCTTTTCTTAAAAAAACTTCTATTTAAAAGAACTTTATTCTGTGCCAATGACCAAAGTATAATCATGACAAAGGTGTAATGCTAAACATGAACCAGAGGCAAGGCAATAAAACAGTCAGGTCAAAAGATACTTTGACTCTTTTGACTCAATTTTTAATAATTCTTTAACATTTTTAATAATAAGTTATTTTAGAATATCAGAAATAACAAAAAGAATATATAAAATAAAATGTCTGAAATAATAAATTAAATGCCACAAAACATTATTCTTGTCTATAAAATCAAGCAAAAGTTGCATCAAAATTTAAAGCAATTAAAATTTGACAAGTGGTCAATAAATGTATATTTTAAATGGGCTTCCACTATATTCTGTATATAGGAAGTGTAAAATAACTTCATGTAAAATGAAGCAACTTGAAAATATCATATAGTCCTTCATACATGTAGACAAGAATACAATAAAGGATTCAGTGGCTAAATTCTGGATTTAATCAATATATAACAGTAGTACAAATTTTCATTAGATAACAGGAACCTCAAAAATAATATAAAAACATATCCTTTTCCCTACAGACCTTTAGAAATCTAAAAAGCATGGCTGAATTCAGCTACATTTCCCCCAAATATTTAAATAATTAAACTTAATTGGTAAAGGAATTAAGTTTTTATTGACTTATCTAGATCAATTAAAAGTATCAATTAGGTCTTTAAAAGAAAGCAATTAGTATGCAGAAGTGTACATATTTTTTTCAAAATGGAAATGACTTCTGTTTTTGATTATTCAAATATTGAATGCCAATTTTTTTGTTAATGTAAAGAAGAAACGATAAATTAGCTATGATCCCATTCATTGTTAACATTTTAGGATCTTATTTTCAAAGTTTGTATCTATGCCTCAGAGCATAGCAGCTTTACAAAAACAGAATCATATATGTAATATTCCTTTATAACACAACAAAAGGCCATCTGCCAGTTTAAGAAATATAAAGCTAAATAATGGCTGCATAGTGCTCCACTGTATAGAGATAATTTATTTAACCAATTCCCTATTCTTGGATCACTAAGTTTTCCTGTTTCTCAGTATTATTAGCAAAGCTGCAATAAAATTATCACGCAATAAATTGTGTGCACTATAATATTTATTTTCTCAGGATAAAATTATTGCAAGTTTAGGGGTTCAAGTGAGCTTTCTACACATTGTGAAGACTCAGAGTTAGTATCTAAAGTGATTTATAACTTAGAAAATGGCTTAAATAACATTATAAGCTATAAAAATACCTAAACAGTTCAATATAATTTTTATTCTTTTAAAACACACCCAGTTTCCCCAGCCATCATTTTCAGCTCGCCTCCTCCATCCACCTCGTCTCATGGTGGAGTTTCTATATTAGGGAGAAAAAATAAAATCAATTTTATAACATAATATACTAACATATATTTTACTTCAGTATTAAAAATATAAAAAATTAAAATACAAATGTTTAATTCATAAAAGTTGAAAATATAATAATACCAAGTGAAGAAACTTATACTAAAGTTTCACAAGAAACATTTGTTCCTAAAAACACCCTCCTACAGGCGTGTGTCAGGTTTTAATTACAAGTACTTTACATTTAAACTGGAAAACCTTTTAGACATTCCTGAGCAACAATCCTAACATCTACTTACTTAAAACATCACCAAATGTGACTAACATGGTCGTGATTACTTGTTAAGGATTAATCAGTGTTAAGAGAATCTAAGCAAACACATTCCTTTATGAAATGACCTACAAATATGGCTCTTAAACTGTGTCTTTGCTATTGCTGACTGGGCACTTAAGAGTACACTCACGGTGTAATTCATCTATTACACAAAAAGCCCTTTAAAAAAATTAACTAAAACAGTATATCTACTAAGATAGTGGTTTTCAACTGGTGTGCCACACACAAAAGAAATTTTTTAAATCGTCTCCAGAGGACATGCTTAGAAAGGAAGGGAGGGAGGGAGGGGGACAGAGACAGACAGAGGCAGAGAAGCACTGATGAGAGAGAAACCTCAATGGGTTGCCTTCCACACATACGCTGACTGGGAATCAAACTGGCAACCCAGGACAACACTTATTACTTCTCTCAAGATGAGGCCAACCACTGAGCCACTCCAGTCAGACCACAGCATTTTTAAAACATGCAATACCTGACTAGTTAGTCAGGGGCACACACCTCTTTTCCCTTAAATTGTCAAATTAAAAAACGATAACGGCCAATGCAATAGCTATCTGGTATGAATGAATCAAAGTTATACCTATTTTTTGTTACATTGGCAAAATATGCATTGTTTGCTATGCCATAGAATTTTGGAAATTAGTTTATGTGTGCCATGAGATGAAAAGGTTGAAAAGTGCTGATCTAGGGATTTGATGTAGAAAGATTATCACTGATAAACAAGGAAATCTGGCATTTTCCATAAGGCAACACTTGACCATCTATCTGTACTATAAAATGACCAAAATGACCAAATGATAGCTTAGTGGCTAGCAAGGTATAAAATGACTCCTAAGCCTGGCTGTTGTGGCTTAATGGTTGAGCATCAACCCATGCACCAAGAGGTCACTGGTTCAATTCCCAGTCAGGACACATGCCTAGGTTGCAGGCTGGATCCCCAGAAGAGGGCGTGCAGGAGGCAGCCAACTGATGTTTTTATCTCTCCCTCTTTCTGTCTCCCTTTCTCTCTATCTGAAATTCAATAAAAACATTTTTTTAAATATTAAAAAATAATAAAATGACATCTACTTCAAAGCATAAGGCTAACCCTAAATGGCTACATCTTAAGTTATGACTGCACTATCCTTCATAAAATTAACATGATTTCCATATAGGCATTTTTTTCTTCTAGTAACTACATGTAGGTTAATATCAAATGGTAACCCTATGTTGCTGGAGAAGCCTTATACATTATCCAAGTCAAATCAGCTTTGATATGGTTTTTAAGATTTTGTTATTGAGTAACATCTTAGAATATAACAGCATATAATTTCTTTCAAATATTTCTATTCTTGGTATATTGGGGGATGCAGTTTCTCCTTTCTGACATTTATGTTAATTATGAATTTTTACTGTCTACCTTTGAAGGGTGCCTAAAAGATGTGTGGATATATGCTAAGAGTTAGTCCAATAGAGCAACAAGGTGCAAAGCGATTAACCCTGAACAGGGGCTGTAGGTGCTGAGGGAGAAGAGTTTTGTTTTTTCAAGTTTGATAAAGGCAGGGACATGGCTACCTACCTAAGGTTCATCATGAGTCTCAGAACTGCCGTATTTGCTTTGCTGAATACTTGTTTTCAAGAGGCTTACTTTGGTCAAGATTTCCCCCCTTATCTTTAAGGAGTCCTGGGAAATGGGTTAACACATCGCTCTTGACATCATATAACAGAATCTGTTCTAACAAGTAAAGTGAGTTTGGGAGTTCTGGCTATTAGATTAAGGATGAACACCCACAAAAAGTAAATACAACAATCTGATAAATGAGGCAAATTTTTAAAAATACAATAATTTTTAGTTTAATTCATTTGCCCAGTCATTTAAAAGCCTCTTATTTAAAAAGTACTGTGTATCCACTTAGAAAGGCCAATATGAAAATCCTTACTGATGGGTTAATGAGGATAGACAATGTACGAAACAGAGCTGTAATAAAGAAACAAAAACAAACAGATTTTAAAGGTTCTCTACCCATTCCAGAGTAATAAAGCTACCCAAACAAATGTTTGAAGCTTCAAAAAGTAAAAGGAATGAGAATAAAAGACTTAAAATTGTTGCCAAAACCAGTTTGGCTCAGTGGATAGAGCGTCGGCCTGTGGACTGAAAGGTCCCAGGTTCGATTCTGGTCAAGGGCATGTACATTGGTTGCGGGCACATCCCCAGTGAGGGGTGTATAGGAGACAGCTGGTTGATGATTCTCTCTCATCAATGTGTCTAACTCTCTATCCCTCTCCCTTCCTCTCTCTATAAAAAAATAAATAAATAAATAAATAAATAAATAAATAAATAATCAATAAAAATATATATTAAAAAAAAACTTAAAATTGTAATTTCATCATTTCCACTAATTTGACCCATGTTCAGCAAACACCTATTGGTCCTGGATTCAAATAAGACCCCAAAAAGGGAAAAGGAAACAAAAAACATATTTAATTTTATACATTCAAATTTAACTTGAGAAAAATTCATAACAAATAGCAAACTAAACAATGTGGCCCACAATTCCTGCTAACAAAGAGGAAAGCTACAAAAAACATTGTTTTTAAAAAAAATTGCCTCAGGGCAACAAGGTCTAGCAAATAATGAATTACTGGGCCAAGATTTAGAAGATGACAGAGAGGACACCTAAGTCAATTGTATAACTTTCTCTTATCAGACAATCAATGCTAAGTAGTTCAGCATATAGCTGTTTATTACATTTCCTAGCACAGCTAATTATGTCATCTAAGAAATAACTTAGAGACCATGTATAGAAGAACCCACACTAGACTACTGATAGCATACTACTGTGTGTAAAGCACGACTGTGACAAATGAAAAATAGGCACTCTGTATGAGTTTTAAATTTCACAATCTAAAAAGAAATGAGCACCAATCAAGGAAATACTAGCCCTACAAATAAACTTAAAAGGAAGATTTCAGGCAGGAAGAATGGGAGGAGAAACCAGCAAACCCTGGGGCATCAAGCAAACTACATGACCCAGATCTATAATCCTGGTCAAGAGCAGGGACAGACCATGCTGGCATGCAGCAAAGCTACCCGACAACCTGAACTGCATGGCCAAATAAAAGGGAGACTCAGGTGACAGGATGTAAACAATAAGTACTAGGTTTATCACACTTCTGTTGAGATGTACATAGAATCAAAGACTTCCCTCATTTGGGTTAGATCCACATTCATCTGCTTTCTGATACTCAAGATACCTTAAAATGAAAATATGAAGAATATGCTAAACATGTAAAATTGCCTTGCCTGGCTAACATGGCCCTGAGATTGAGCATCAACCAATGAACCAGGAGGTCATGGTTCAATTCCTGGTCAGGGCACATGCCTACTTTTCAGGCACAATCCCTAGTATGGGGCATGCAGGAGGCAGCCAATCAATGATTCTCTCTTATCACTGATATTTCTACTTCTCCCCCTTCCTTTCTCTCTGAAGTCAATCCTATCTATTATAATAAAATAGTAATATGCAAATTGACTGTCACACTTAGACACAAGATGGCCACCACAAGATAGCCTGCAGGGGAGGGCAGTTGTGGGCAGTTAGGAGTGACCAGGCCGGAAAAGAAGGGCAGTTGAGGGAGACCAGGCAGGCAGAGGAGGGCAGTTGGGGGAGAACAGGCCAGCAAGGGAGGGCAGTTCAGGGGACCCAGGCCTAGAGGAAAGGGCAGTTGTGGGGGACCAGGCCTGCAGGAGAGGACAGTTGTGGGGGACCAGGCCTGCAGGGGAGGACAGTTGTGGGGGAACCAGGCCTGAAGGAGAGGGCAGTTGTGGGCAATCAGGCAAGCAGTGAGGGCAGTTAGGGATGACCAGGTTGGCAGAGGGCAGTTGGGGGATACTAGGCCAGCAGGGGAGGGCAGTTGAGGGGACAAGGCATGTGGGGGGGGGGGCACTTGGGAGGGAAAAGGCCTGCAAGGGAGGGCAGTTGTGGACAATCAGGCCAGCAGGGAGGGCAATTAGGGGTAATCGGGCCAACAAAAGAGGGCAGTTTGGGGGAGACCAGGTCAGCAGAGAAGGGCAGTTAGGGGTGACCAAGCCAGAAAAGGAAGACAATTGAGGGTGACCAGGCTGGCAGAGGAAGACAGTTGGGGGTCACCAGGCCAGCAAGGGAGGGCAGTTGGGGGGGGGGGGGGGGAACCCAGGCCTGCAGGAAAGGGCAGTTGAGGGGTGAGGGGGACCAGGCCTACAGGGGAGGGCAGTTGGGGGTGACCAGGAAGGCAGTGGAGGCACTTAGAGGCAATCGGGCTGGCGAGAAGTTAGGTGACCATCAGGCTGGCAAGGAGTGGTTAGGGGGTGATCAGGCTGGCAGGCAGAAGCAGTCAAACAGTTGGGAGCTGGATGGGAGCCAGCAGTCCTGGATTGTGAGAGGGATGTCTGATTGCCCATTTAGGGCTGATCCCACCGCAATCAGATTGGAGAGGGTGCAGATTGGGCTGAGGGACACCTCCCCCTTCCTGTGCATGAATTTCATGCACCAGGCCTCTAGTAAAAGATAAAAATAAAAATTTCCTTTTAATCTTGTTGTATATAATAGGAAGTCAATAAATTCTTGTTGAATAAAGAAAATAAATATGCTTTATTATATATAAAGCATAGTAGTAATAGCAATATGTCCCAAGTATAGGGTACAGTCCA